CTTCCCCGATTCAGCTGCTGCTGAAACTGACCAGCAGCGGCTGAATCAGGGACGCCTGGGGCACAGCCAGACTATCATAAGGGGGGCTATGAGGGGTCTGGGGTGGCATCCCCTCCCACCCCACTCCAGACCCCTCATAGCCCCCCCTTCTGATAGTCCGGCATATCTGATAATCTGGAACCCCCTGGGTCCTAAAGGTGCCGGATTATCGGAAGTTTACTGTATATGATTCATTTAGCAAGTGTGGTGTGACATTCACTCCTCAAGCAGCAGAAAATATAAGCCCACCCTGACAAATCCTGCTTCCCCACAGCAGAACAGTAAGTCCTATGAACCCTTGGAGCCAAATGTTTGGAATGCTAGAAAGAGCTGAAGCTGTAAAACAAATCTGACCGTTAGTAGTTGAAAATAAAAATGCTACTGCTTTACACTATGCCAACAAGAGTGCTATAACAGAGAACTTGTTGGAGGGAACAGTGAGTTAGCCATGAGCTTTGTTAGAGGGAGAATAGAACATTTAATCCACAAGAAATATCTAGGCAACTAATTGGTGTTTAACAAAACTGAAAAATAGCACCAATTAATGGCTAAAAATATTAAATGACATCTGATAAGTATGATATCTGATCTCCAACTTACCCCATCTACCGAGTTACATTCCAGTTAAATCCTATAATTATGTAGTAACTAAGCTTTATATGTCTAGGAGTCTAGCTATATGAAGCTCATGCTTACACAAAGTATACTCAGTCCACTGCAAAAAAGCAAGGACACCACAGTGACAGCGTATGGTTTTTGCAGGTCTTCTACCAAAAAAGGTTGCCTGGGTCTTGCTGAATGCTTGCCAACTGCCAGTGTGAATTTCCATCATGGCAACTGGGTTTAATGTATATACACACATTAGCACCATCAGTGCTCCTGTCATTCCAAGAAGTGAATAGTCACATCCAACAGAGTGCCCATTCCAGTTATTGATAGTCCGAGTAGTGGGAGACAGAGCAGGCAAATGGGATTCTACTTTGCTTTAGTAAAACATAGGGTTAGCAACGGAAAGAACCAACGAGAGCTTAAGCACAAAGAGGTGAACTTTATCAACTTACTATGCAACTAATAGTTTATTTTCATATTCATAAGGTTTTAAAATGTGTTTTTCTAGTTATGCCAAATCCAAAGGCTTTATAACGCAGCAGTTTAATGTATTCCCTGTCTGCCTGGCATAACTTCAGCTCCTTTTGGGATCAACAGTGAAATTAAATGAAGTCTCTTCCTTGTTTGTTTGGATTTTATAGAATCATAGAACACTAGAACTGGAAGGGACCTCGAGAGGTCATCAAGTCCAGTCCCCTGCCCTCATGGCAGGACCAAACACCATTTAGATCATACTGATAGGTGACTGTCTAACCTGCTCTTAAATGTCTCCAGTGATGGAGATTCCACCACCTTTCTATGCAATTTATTATAGAATCATAGATTTGTGTTTCTCACTGTTTGGATCGGTGAGTAGGCTGTGGCCAGAAAATGAGTGTCAGGGCTAGTAGTGTAAATCAGGAATGAGAGGCATTAGCAAGGAGGTCTTGGGGAAATTTGTAGTTGCCTGACTCTATCAAGGCTATTTACCTTGCGTTCTTATTTAAACCATTCACCCAAAAATGTAAAAGCTAAAATATATGTAAAGGTAGATGGCTGATAGTTCTTGAATGATATTGGCTATATAGAACACACACTCAGCTCAAGGAGTCTAATGTGTCTATATGGAAGGACCCCTGGATGTGCTAGAAACAGCATACAGAAAGCAGGGACAAGAAAGCTCTTTTTTTCCTATGCTGTAGTGGGCAGGATGAACAACTAGCTATTTTGATTGGATTGGGAAGGGTTTTCCAGAGAGGAGGTTGGGTCACTTATGGGTTTGGCTCGCAGGTGGAAAAGTCTGCCTTTACATTTAGCTGGTCACAAAATTGCTGAACATTTCAGCTCATTCTTTCTATTTATCATTGTAAATTACATGGGATTTTTTTTTCCAAATCAAAGGAACCACCACTCCCTTTAAAAGTGCTCTTAGGCAAGTCTCAATCTGTGCTGAGTCCCATCACGGCATTGCCCCACTGAGTCAAGGTGTGAAGTCTCTGCCTCTCTGGGGGTATGTCTACACTACCCCCCAGTTCGAACTAGGGGGGGTAATATAGTCATACGGAGTTGCAAATGAAGCCCGGGATTTGAATTTCCTGGGCTTCATTTGCATAAAGCCGGCCGGCGCCATTTTTAAATGCCGGCTAGTTTGGACTGCGTGCCGCGCGGCTACACGTGGCATGGACTAGCTAGTTCGGATTAGGCTTCCTAATCCAAACTAGCTGTACGCCTCATGGAACTACTGTACGCCTCAGGGTCTAGCAGCAAGTTCCCTCCCTTGCCAATCCTGCCTTACAGACATCAGTGCTAAGCAACCCTAATCCAACTCCCCTCCCACAAAATAGCCAGTCCTCCCACACTCTCTAATGCCAAACACCTTTCTCCTTCCCAACTATAAAACACTCTAGAACCCTGCAGAGAAGCAAGTGGCCCAGTCACAAACCTTTGCATAGTCCAGTAACAAACATAGGTCACATCTCCACTTGCTATGTGAGCTCGATCTTCTGGTGTTTAATTTAGCTGGTCTAGTAAGGACCCGCTAAATCGAATGGTGAGGGTGCTCACAGTCGTTGCTGATGCTCCTTGATTTGTGAGGAGTAGGGAGGAAGCCAACAGGACCTTTTGTTCCCATCTACCTCCTGCTGTGAAGACAGTGACAAGCTCTGCTTACAATATTTTGTAGCTGAAGTTGCATACCGTAAGCCAGCCTTCTGGGTCTAGTATAGACCTGGCCATAGCAAACTAAGCCTCTTCCTCCTAATGCCAACAGTTCCTACAGCTTCCAGTGATGTGTCCCCAATCCAGCAACCTCCCAGCTGCAAACTAGAGCTAAGTGGAAAACAGAATTTCCAGTCCACAGGAAACTTTGACGTTTTGAATTTTGTCTGTTCCACATAGGAATAAAACCCCACAATTGTGAAATTTCTTGTGGCACAAAAAAGCTGTACAGTTTTGATTAGGAACCACTGAAATGTTTTGTTTTGATAATGGCGAAGGTAAAAATGTTCCATTTCAATTTTCTCATTTTGATTCATATAATTTCAACTTTTGTTTTATATACAATATTATAGATTATATATAAATAATAATATACTGCACCATATTTAATATAAAATAAACATGAACATTATCAAAATGAAGTTGAAACTTTTTTTGACATTATTAAAGCAAAATGAAATTCAGAACAATTTGTTTCACCTTTTTCCCTTAAAAATTATGGTGGAAAAAATTATGTTAATTCTGAGTAAATTATGGAAAATTGCAGTGGAATACTGTTTTGTTGAAATTTTTTTTGACCTTGTCTGCTGCTAATGTGACGGGTGCCCTCCAATGGCAGTGCCACCAGCTACCAAACTCTCCTTCCTTTAGGTTAAATTCCTATCCATTACTGTGTTAGTGTCTCCATTATTATAAAACTGCCCAACTGCCCTCCTCTGCTAGAGTTGTCAACTCTCTGAGTTTTGCCAGGAGTCTCCCAGAATTTGGCTCCTGAAACCAAACTAAGAAATCAGCTGCTAAAAGTTCAATAGCACAGGAGTGTTAAGGCAGGCTCCCTGCCTGTGCTGATCCTCTGCTGCTCTCAGAAATGGCCAGAAAGTCCTTGCTTGTGGCTTCCGGTGGGGACAGGGAGCCTCTGTGTGCTGCCTTCACCTGCAGATACCACCCACACAACTCCCATTAGCTAGAAATTGTGGTCATTGGGAGCTGTGAAGGTGGTGCCTGCAGGCAGGAGCAGCATATGGAGTCCCCTGCCCCCCACGCCACATTGCACCACTGACTGAACACTGCCTGAGGTAAACACTGCCCAGCTGGAATTTGCACCCCTCATACCCTCCAGGACCCTACTCCCACCCCAGCCCTGAGCTCTTTCCTGGTTCCTACAGTCTGAACCTCCTTCCACATCCCAGCTCTCTGTTCCAACCCTGACCCTCACACATATCCAAACTCCCTTGCAGAGCCTTACCTCTCACCCCCTCCTGCATCCCTGCCCCAGCTCTGAACCCCCTCCCATACCCAACTTCCTCCCAGAGCCCGCACCCCAAGGCCCCTGCCCTAGGCTCAGCACAGAGCTCCCTCCCATACTGAAAACCCATCAGGTCCTGCCCAGAACCTGCTCCCCTTTCTACACCCCAACCCCTTGCTCCATCCTTGTGTAATTGAGTGAGGATTGGGGACAGTGAGCAATGGAGGGAGGGGCTATAGAGAGAGCAGGGGCAAGGCCTCAGAGAAGGGGCAGGCCAGGAATGGGACCAGGTGTTTGGGTTTGTCTCGTTAGATAGTGGCCATCCTTTCCTCTGCTGGTCAGTGTTGTTCCTTACTAGTTCTAGGGGAAGTCATTATGCAAATTCAGTAAATAGTTGTGGCCATTCCTTGGGCACCCTGGACAAACCTGTTTTTATTTAATGCTTGTTCTAATCTTAGAAACCTAAGAGTTCTGAAGGCAGAAAGAGACACCACATAAATGACTTACAAGAATACATACCTATAGCATAGATGTAGTGTTGGCACTTCATGCATGGGATATGCATTCCATGCCTTTTACACACGTGGATACATGACTTCCTGTGAGTGGAACTTCAATGCATCCAACAACATCATCTGCACTGGACAACTTCAGCAGAGACAATGCTCTTTTTGCCCATGATGTAGTCTGAATCCGAAGCCCATACAATTTTGAATAAATGACTACATTTTATTTTAGGCCTTCCAAGGAGATCTCAAAGAGGAGTTTTTTTAACTTAAATCCTGCCACTGGTATTAGAGCTTTGTGAGACTGTATCTAAGGCAAGGGAGTGATAAAAAGAGAAAGCAGAGTGCTAAACAGCTTAACTTGAGTGTCAAGGTGCCCTAGGGATTTATTGTATTAGCCATTTATAGATCAGCAGTCTTAAAGGGGATCCTTTAAAATCATTACCCTCCTCACCACCTGCCAGCTATGATTCTTGATTCTCCACCCTATAACAACAGAGGCAACAGGCATGTATGAATGCTTTAGATTGTTGGGGAATCCAAGGGTATGTCTAGACTACATGGCTCTGTCGATGAAGCCTCGTAGATTAGGTTTCTAGACATAGGAAAATGAAGTGGCGATTTAAATAATTGCTGATTCATTTGCATAAAAATGGCTGCCACGCTGAATTATGCCTCGTAGAATGAGGTTTACCGGGGTGGTCAACAAGGGCTTTCCTTGTCGACCACGGAGCGTCCAGACTATCACGCTGTGCCGCCAAACAGCTGCAGAGCGCAGCAGCCATTTTGATGTAAATGAAGGGGCGATTATTTAAATCACTGCTTCATTTTCCTATGTCTTGTAAACTAATCTACATGGCTCCATCGACGGAGCCATGTAGTTTAGACATACCCCAAGAGACTGGCTGTTGAGGGGGCGTGTGATGGGCTTAGTTCAGCTAAGCACCCAAACATTTCTTTTTGTGCACATTATCCAAATCAACTGGATTTTAAGTTTCACGGGAATAGGCTCCCTCATGAGAATCCTAAATCTTCCTGTTTCTATCTGGCTTCAAATTATCATGAGAATAGTGTTTTTGTTGGTATCTCAGCATTTCTGCTTATGATTCCCGCTGCAGTTAGAAAAAGCAGACTCGTGCCAAAATTAAGGGTTAAGAGTTAAAGTGAGGAAAAAATTAGACTGAGGACTTGTGGTTCTGCCAGCAAGTGACAGAGGGACCCTGGCTTGATTTCTCTGCCTGTAAAATGGGAACGAGAGTATTGCCTGATTTCAGGAGGCACGGTAAGGTTTCAGTAACCGCTGACTGTGCAGTGCTCACAGCTTCTCACGTGGAAAATTAATCACACTTTTTTAAGTGTAGAAAAACAGTTTACTTTGCATTTGGGTTGCTCCTGGGACTATTTTAGTATCTGATCCAGTTTTCACATCTCCTTTAAGTAAGCTCTGACAATGAGCTTTAAAATGTACTTGCAAACTACAAAGAAATGGCTTCCCCCCAGAAAGACCACCAGACCAGGACCTTTGCCTGAGTTTTGGAAACCTTTGCTGCCACTAACTGTAACTTGCTTGGCTTGTCTCTTTTTCCTTTGCTCTGGCTGAGCTGCCATACATCACACACCCTGGATGCTGGGCTGTGATTTCTCACTGCCTGATGTTAACCCTTATTTTAATGAACCTCAGGGTGAACAAGGACAGGCGGGGATCCAAGGGCCACCAGGGCCACCTGGTCCACCAGGGCCAACTGGACCATCTGGACCAGCAGGAAATCCAGGACAACCTGGCCCAATTGGGCCACCTGTAAGTTTAACAGAAATCAAACACCCAGCATTTATCCTTCCTGTCCCCTGACGCCATGCAATTTCCTTTGCTTTTTATAGTCTCCTCTGAGCCTAGTGTACTGATCACACGCAATTTCCCAGGGCATGGAGGGAGGAAAGCTGGTACATGGCTGAAGGAAAGAGTTCCCAAGCAGGGAGGGAGGAGTTATTCTCCCAAGCTATGCTATCTGTACACATGTGTGAGAGGGTGACACCAGTGCCATTTCCTTCTCTCCAACAGATGCCATGGGGAGGAAGTAACACTTTGGCTGTAATTAGCCTGCTCTCAGCAGAAATGGGACTAAAAAAAGCCCCTGAAATCTCTTTGATGTTCTGCTCTAGTTCTATTCCCAAGCCGAGATCAAGCAGCCGAGGAAGGTGAAAATACTGTCACTGATGTTCCTTTCCCTCTCACAACAGGGCACAGCAGGGGAGCCTGGAAAGGCAGGCAAGGATGGAAAGGTAGGTACGGTTGAGTTGCCTCGCTCCTCTTGCTTGTGCATGCAGCCTCCGTTGCATGAATTCAGTCAGCTCCCTACTGCCTGGGGATGTGGAGATGCCTGCAGGGCTGAACCAAGCATTCAGCAAAGTAGGCAGCTGCACTTAATGTCTCCATGGCTGTTTCATTCACCCAGGGTCACTTCAGCTGGCTGTGCTCTCTGAGTGCATCTGAACTCCTGGCACAGGGACAGAGTAGAGGAATCTTGGCATATTCTCCATGGTAAATGTGATCAGAAGCACTTCACATGCTGGGGCACCTGGCATTGGCCACTGCCAAAAGACAGGATGTTGGGCTAAATGGCCTTTTGGTCTAACCCAGTGTGGCCAGTCTTATGTTTTAATGTACATTGAAGTCTTCTGTGACTGTCCAGAAAACAATGTATACAGCCTGGCTAGTGACAGTGTGAGCTTTCCCCAAACTGACCCACTAACTAATAAGCCGCAAACCTCACCTGGACTCTCGTGGGGGTCAGTGTTCCCTGTAAGATGTACATTTGTGTGGCCACGCAGGAGACATTCAAATACTGCCCATCTGATTAGCAGAGCACCCACACCTAGGTTTTTTGTTTCTACTGGGATACACATTCACTCATGCCTCAGTGCACATTAAAATGTATTCTGAGCATGAATGGAAAAAAATCTGCATTTGGATGGAAAAGATTAGAGGGAACATTACTGGAGGTGACAGGTGATTTAATCTGCACAGGCTTACAGTCCCTGGCGCCTCTGCCTAAGAAAGGACCAGTTACAAGGTTTTACAACTGCAGACATCTATCCACTAGGAACCAAGTGAAACCACCAAGTCATTTCATATTGGCCACAAACAGCTATCCATTAGGCATGGTCTTTGGTCTTTGCCAAGCTAAAATGGATTGGAACCAGGCCTGCTGATGGTTGGAGAGGGGGGGAAGGGAGCAATTGCCCCAAGGCCTGATGATTCAAAAGGGCCACCAGAGCACCTCTGCAGCACACTCTAGGTGCTGTGAGGATTTTCTGCGGGGTGGGGTGATCCAGGCAGCTTTGAGGACTGGCTTCCACAACCCTCTAGGCAACCTTCCTGGCTTCCCCAACCTTCTGCCCAAGGCTTTGCCCCTTCCTGGAGCATGGAGCTGGGCCCCACCCAGTGGCCCACTGAGGCTGTCGGACCCGCTGATTGAAACTAATAAACTAAATAAAAATCACCAGGACAAGAACAGCAGATTTAGAGCTTGCGTATGCTGATGTTTATCTCTTGGTTAGTTGCTGTTTGCATGTATCTGAATGAAGGAAGCCTCTATACTCAACAAAGATGTACAGGCTACCATCTGCTATTTCCCTAGTAGCACACAAAACACACACTCAATTCCCATGTCTAACAACAAGGAGCATGGCATGCCGGGTATGCCAGACACCTGGTTATTAGGGAAATAATGATACTTTCATCCTCGTATTTTTATATCAGCTGTTTCAAATCAAGGAAGGAGAACTCTCCATGTGAATGTTATCTGCAGACAGGAGACTCAAAACTTTCACCCTGAAGTAGCCATTTGACTTCTCATAAGCAGGCAAACATCCTAATGCTACGTCTACACTGGCAGCTTCTTGTGCAAGAACTCTTTTGCGGAAGAGTTCTTCTGCAAGAACTCTTCCAGAAGAGAGCATCTACACTGACATGTGCTTTTGTGCAAGAGATGTGCTTTTGTGCAAGAGCACCTATGCCAGTGTAGATGCTCTCTTGCGCAAGAAAGCTCTGATGGCCATTTTAACCATAGGGCTTTTCTTGCACAAGAAATTCATGTTGCCTGTCTACGCTGGCCTCTTCTGGAAGAGCTCTTGCACAAGAGGGCTCATTCCTCGTGGGGAGAGGAATATCTCTTCCAGAAGAAGCCCTGTTTTACAATGCTATACTGTAAATTTACTTCTGGAAGAACACTCGTGGGCTACGTCTAGACTGGCCACATAAGACGGAATAGGCATGCAAAGCAGGCAAGTCAGAATAGGGAAATCCGCGGGGGATTTAAATATCCCCCTCAGGATTTAAATAAACATGGCCACCGCTTTTTTTCCGGCTTGGGGAAAAGCCGGAAAAGAGCGTCTAGACTGGCGCGATCCTCTGGAATAAAGTAGGAATAAGAGATCCTCCAGAAAAGGGCTTTATTCCGGAGGATCGCGCCAGTCTAGACGCTCTTTTCCGGCTTTTCCCCCAGCGCGGGGGATTTAAATATCCCCCTCAGGATTTAAATAAACATGGCCACCGCTTTTTTTCCGGCTTGGGGAAAAGCCGGAAAAGAGCGTCTAGACTGGCGCGATCCTCTGGAATAAAGTAGGAATAAGAGATCCTCCAGAAAAGGGCTTTATTCCGGAGGATCGCGCCAGTCTAGACGCTCTTTTCCGGCTTTTCCCCCAGCTGGAAAAAAAGCGGCGGTATTAAGGGATGTGCTACAGAATCGGACTCAGAGGTTGCACGGCAGAGATTGTATTTTAGTTCACTCATTTATGTTGCACTCCCCGTTAGGAAGCTACTGATTCAGTTGATGGACCAAATTCAGTTATGTATCCTAGTAGGAATAATTCCCGGCTTTCCCCCAGGCCGGAAAAAAAGCGGCGGCCATGTTTATTTAAATCCCGCAGGGGATATTTAAACCCCCCGTGGATTTCCCTATTCTGACTTGCCTGCTTTGCATGCCTATTCCGTCTTATGTGGCCAATCTAGACGTAGCTGTGCAGTGTAGACAGCCGGCAAGTTTTTGCAGAAGAGCACCTGTTCTTCTGCAAGAAGCTGCCAGTGTAGACGTAGCCCCTGAAAATGCAGGTTGTAGAACGTATTTGGGATATCTGTTCCATCTTTCTTATTGGAACTGTTTACATCACAAAGGCATCTGCAACATGAATATTTTAGATATTCATATTTATATGGTATATGTAAATCCAAAAATGTGCAGATTGCATGGCTATTTCTAATTTAGCACAACTGCTGACATCCTTCCTTTCTGAAAGTCTTATTAACATATTCCTATGACTAAGAAAGTCAAAGAAAACCATGTTCAGTAAAAGTCGGGCTTTCTGCCCTTGAAGAGTACTTTCAGATGTGTACGTGCCACACAGGTAGCTTTCCTTTTTAAAGAAGAAAAGTTCACCTCTGTTTGAAATCTGATAGTAGCACATTCTTCCATGAGAAAAGGATCTTTCTGTTATTCCACAGTGTATTTTAAAACACAGGTAGTTCATAAAAACCCTATCCATTCCTTAACTCCTTTGAGATCACCTGGTTGGGTAAGGAAGTGACTCCCCATTTCCTGAATTCTACCAGTTTCCAGTTTTGATGGTGTTGTTTCTCCATTGTGTACACAGACAGTGACTGTCTTTAGACAGTCTAAAAAAAATAAACCAGATCTTATTTTGGAACCATAACAAGTTGGGCAAAGTAGCTTGGTTTTCAAATTTACTGAGATGAAACTTAGTGGCTGAATTGGGGAAGTGTAGAATTTATCTACTCCCCAATGAGAATAATTTTTGCACTGATATTCTAGAGTGATGAACTCTTTAAAAATGAAGTAAGCCGTGACTGATGTCCCAGTATGAAAAAAAAATTACTCCCACACAATTTTCCCTCTTATCTTTTCCATCCATAATATTTTAATGTGCACCAAGGCGCATGCAAATGTGCACCATCATAAGAAACAGAAAACCTAGCTGTGAGTACTCTGTTAATCAGCTGGGCGGCATTTGAATTTCTCCTGAGAGGCCACACAAGCACACACCTTAATGGGAACACTGCTCTCACCCTAGTTCTCTAGATATTTTAAGATTTCCCTACCTGAAAATGTGTTATTTTAACTACAGGGTTTACCTGGACCCCCTGGACCAAAGGTGAGCATTTTTTTATCATCTATAAGTAAAAATGAGGATAAGAAATGTAATCCCCTTAGCATGGATGTAAGCGAACCTGGGCATGATCCTTGTCTGGGCGCAGTGGGTTGGGAGTGGGAAGAAGGCTGCTTCATGATGTTTCTGGAAAAGTCCATGACCAGGCTGAACCATCTCACTAAGGCTATGTCTAGACAGCGGGGCTATTTCAAGATATTGGAAGCATCCTGAAATAGCAATTCTGTGTCTTTAAACGTGCCCATTATTTCAAAATAACAGGCACGCTATTCCAGCATCCCTGTAAGCCTTGTTCCACGAGCGTACCACGAGGGTTAAGGGACTTGTCAGGATGGCACTGTATTTCAAAATAAGATTGAAATAAGCTACGCAATTTGCATAGCACAAATTGTGTAGCTCACTTTGAAGTAAGGGTGCTAGGTAGACACACCCGAAGGGCTCTGGCTTATTTTTTCAGTGGAAGCTTTGCCTGAGTGAGGAGGTCATAATCAGGACATACTGAGGAGAAAAAATGGCAACCTGGTCTTTGCTGCATTTCACCATAGAACATTTACCATGTTTTGTGAACCACTTTGTTAATCTTGCCAAATTTCCCATTTTTACTCTTGCCAACCTTGTGAAATGTCACCAACAGAGTTCAATTGCTTTTGCCTGCAAAAATCCCCAACTTGCTTTCCTTGACGTACTTCAGATAATGCTCTAAGATTAAGCAGTGTTAGGACAGATTAACTATGTAAATGGAAGCAAAACCAAATGGTGTGCCTTGTCATGTATGCTACAGCTTTCCTATTATGTTGTAATTCACACAGGATAAAAGTCACTCCTGGGCATTGGACTCAGAAAGGACATAAGCTGTGTTTTGAAAACTCCAGGGAGATTTAAATGTTATTAAGGCCTCATTATGGTTCTCTGCCCAGGGGTGAATTTCACCCTCAGTATCCTATTTTTCTTTCTGTATCAGCACAAAGGAAAGGACAGGGATTTTTCCTTTTCAGTCTAGCATCACTGGCTTGTCTTCATTTTGGTTGTTGCAGGGGGACCCTGGAATTCAAGGATACCCTGGGAGGAAGGTAAGAAGGGCAAGTAAACTTCTGAGATGCGCAGAACACATAGATAATCAAGTAGCTTAAAGTGTATCATGGTGAACCAGAACCTGGTGGGAACGTAGTAACAGAGAAGTGCCATCCTTGTCACACACATTCACAGCCAACTCTTCCATCATTTTCTTCAGTGAGTGACTTGCTGGCAGAGGCTGGGGATGGGTCATGGAGGAAGTCTGACCTCCCCCATAGCCAGAATTCTTCTACCATTCCCTGCAGTGACTTGTGTTAGGAGAGCAGATTTTTAAATTAGTTTCTCCTCCCCAGTAGCCACTACACTTACATGCTTCCCTGCAGAGGTTTCTTCTGGGAGAGGATGAGGCAGGGAAAACTGTAAGCTCCCCTATAGATTCACTCCTTCGGGCTCCCTCCCCTCCTACCCATCTGCCCAGTCTGAATGGGAGTTGAAATGAGATATGGTATTTTCATTCCCCTGGTTAAGTATCATTCTCCAGCCTAAATGGTAGAAAGCTTGATTCAGCTGCAGGTTACCAGACAGGGCTGTGAATCTCTAGCACTGAAAGGTCTACCCAGAGGATAGCTGTCCCAGTGCAAGACACTTGCATTCCCTATGTGTTATGGGGCACAGAGGTGGCCGGAGCAGCCCTAATTATGCTGGTCACATATGGGCATAGCCAGGGAGTCAGGGGGCAAGGGGAATGTGCTCATTCAACTGATTTCCAGGCAGCCGGATTCCAGTGAAGCTCCAACAGTGCATTAAATATATTCTCCTGGCCTTCCCTGGTATCCCCTATAGGGCGTGGCTAGTTCTGCCCCAGCAGCACTGAATCTGTTTGGTGGAGGGAGGATGAAAGATGATAAAGGGGGAGAAATACTGAAATGGAGAATAAAGGAGTGAGAAAAGGGAAGTGAGTATTCCCAACTGCCGGCAGTTGTACATATTCTGTTATCTATACCATGTTTTATGAGTGCACTGTGGGTGAAATGGCAAGTCCTGAAAGCTTTTTAATTAGTTCTGCATAAACTGAGAAGTTTTTGTTATGTCAGGAAATGAAAATTATAGCCCCCCTGGACCACAGTCCGTTCCTACAGACACACACAAAATTTACTGTTGCTTCCTTCAGCAAACTGTCGGTTTTCTCATTAGCCATCCATCCTTCTCTTTGCAATGTTCAAAAGTGCTTAGGATGTCACTGAAATGGCATATTAGTGTGTATTTGTACCAGCATCTTTTCCTATGGAGGGCAGTTAATCTGGGTGATTTATTTATCAAGCAAGGGGTCTGAATTCCTTTCATGATAAGATAAGGATGATCCCAGGGTTGGGACCTATTAATGGGGAAGTACACAGGAAATACAGGATTGAATGAACACAGAAGACGAAGTCTTCCCCACTGAGACAGCATGAAAGGAAAGAGAAACTTCCATCTGCCCTTACCAAATGGGCAGACTCAGGATTTGGAGAACTCTCCCTCTGCTTTGATTTTTTTGTGCTGACGGTAGCCTTGTGATACCAGCGATGTGGTGACCGTATTTTCAAATTTAAAAATCAGGATACTTTTGTGACAACACGTTTTAGGGTCACACAATATCCAGGTGAAAGGCCAAAAACGTGGGGCTTTCTCAAGTTTTTCTGATATCATTACTGTTATCTTCTGACTCAACAGCACCACAGGTGTATTTCTCAGAATGGAGGATTTATTCCAGTAACAGCATTCTGAATGAGTTTATTGTTGAACATCAAACCAGTGTAATTAAATCTGAGCAAAAAGAACAGCTGTGATACTGTCTACACTCATGCCGTCATTATTTTCACTCCAGACACTTAGAATACTTGCACCACTAGATTGTTCCTGGAAAACACATGAGAAATTCTACTCAGTGTAGCAATATAACATGAACAAATATTTTCTAGTTATTAAAAAGCAGCAATCCAAGATATTGCCTGATGAAATGAAAAACCAGGACTTTTCAGGCAACCCAAAAGAAGTTCCTGGGACACTAATTGTGCACTAGCATGGACACATGGATAGATAATCACTTCAGCCATGGATAAAATACATTGTATGAGGGATTGGAATATGTGCTCATAGCACCTAAACCCTGATGGGATCCGGCTTTTTATGAGAAACTTCTCTTCAGTGTTCCATCTCTCTTTGCTTACTGCTGGGCAGCATTGCTTTCAGGGCAGGGTCAGAAAGCTAGGCTGTCATATATGCTATGGGATTGTTCTCTGTCCTCCCCCCCACATCTTTGTTAGTATGTTTGTGAAATACTAAAGGCCCCTTTTCTTCCTTCTGACTGTGTGCCTCTCCATCCATTTCTTGCTTCTCTACTTAGGGTGAGGTGGGTGAGGCAGGTGAGGCTGGCCTACCAGGAGTACCTGGCCTTCCTGGATCTATTGGCTCCAAGGTAACCATTAAACTAACAATTCGTAGTTAGTCAGTACCTCCATCTGCTTAGGGCAACTTATTGCCACCCAGACATGTGCTCCTGTTACAGAAACGCAAATATACATGCGTCATGTGATACAGTCTCAGATAAATGTGGTAAGCAATGTGATATAAATGTCTAGATAGACTCAGTAGTTTCTTTGCACTCAATGACATACAAGATCCAGACTTACTTTTTTAGATGGGGCCTGGACAATTGTCAGCCACTGGACTCAAGGCAAGAATGATTCCCTGATCTCTGGAACCAGGGCTCAGTCACTTGTAGCTGTTCTAATGTAATGACTTGTATGTGCATTACCTTCTGCTGGAATATAATACATTTGGCAGCAGTTATGTAAAAGAGCTGCTCCTTTGGATACTGGCAGACTTTGAGTGCTGATGCCTTGGATTTTCAAAGGGGCCTCAGGCAGCAAGGTGCCCAACTCCCCTTAAAAGTTAGTTGGATGTCAGCTCCTAACTCCCTTAAATTCTTTGAAAAGCTCAGTCAATGCCTCCTATGGATACTGATGAATGTCATAGATACAGGTTACCTAAGGGTGTATAAAACAATTTCATGCACCCATTTCTCCGCTACACGTTGTCTTGCATTGGTGCAGAATGCAAGGATGACGTGAAGTCAGCACTAGAGATGCTATGATTGTTGTGCTATGTCCTTCATTCATTTCTCTGCAGGTCCAGCATGCATGTCTCATGAACTAAGCTCTTTCAATTACTTTCTATTGTCATTGCTATACTGTTTTTCTCTTTTTGTTCACTACATCTACCTGCGTTTCCTTTCTATCTCTGTTTTCCTTGCACAGGGTGAAAAGGGGGACACTGGCATAAAGGTAGGCATGGGAAACATGACTTTCTACCACACTTTAAGAGACAAGTAGCTATTCAGAAAACTGTATTGATATAGGGAGCTGGGCCTGAGAGAGATCTGTGGGATATTTAATGGAATACACATATGTGTGGTGATTAACCACAAGCAGACACTCCATGTGCTGGCTGTTTTATGCACATTCAATAAAAATTGACTATAGCCACTTAGTGGAATCTGATTCTTACTAAAGAATTTCTCTGACTATGAAGTTCACTAATGATTTGTTACATTTTTGTATTTGAAAGGGTGGGCTGTGCTTTCCTCATAAAGTCTGGTTAGCTGACACATCACATCTATTCAAACTCTGCAACTTTGAGGCTAAGGTTTGGCATCATTCTTCCAGTCTCCCTCTGTTTCTAGGCTGGACAGCTCTTTTTACAAGATAATATGGTTTTATGCCCATATGTTATCTATTTTATTACAATTTTTTGCACTTACATATTTAAAATATATTACTCAATACAGACTGTTTAAAACTTTACAATGTTAGCTGTTTTCATAAGTCATAGCATATTGTGTCATACCATAGGTTTAAAATATCATTAGAAAGGCCTGTTTTGTAATATTTTACATACATTAACTCTGACATACGTATTTAAAATATTTATTATGTGGATTATATGTTATTAATTATAAAATGAATGCACATTTTCCCTTTTGGGGATTATCATTTTAAAACACTAAAAGGTTCTTTAAACTATACTCTCGTCTGTTTGAATGTGTTTGGAGAGATCTTCTTGAGGGATCTGGGGTCTCAATTTAATAGTTACAGCAACAAATGACCTTCCTTTTAAAATCAACAAGAGACAAGGTGAATAGATCTTACAAATCATTGCTTTATGCAAATCCTACTCATATACGTCTACATGTAATCCAAGATCCTTCCACAAATCCATTCTCACACTGGTGTAATTTCATTGACTTTGATGGACTTAGTCCTGATTTTAGGCCTGTAGGAATTCTGCAATTGTTGCATTTGGAGACATAGTAAAATTGTACAATTCCCCCAGGATTATGGTTTGCACTCCATGAGAGCAGGATCAGACTCATAGTAGATGGGTTTGAAGATCTGTGAAATTACTGGGTGCTTTCTCTTTAAACTGATAGGGAGAATAAGTTGTGGACAACTCAGGGCAGTATATGGACCTAAGTGAGGAAAAGTGCTATAAGTAGAATCCAAGTCCTAACCCTGTTTTTATTTGCTTGTGTCACTGCTGTCAGGCACCTGTTCAGCGTGCGCTCTAAGTACATGGATTAATAGGCCTTTGATTCAGTTTCTGGAACCAAAACCAAAATTGCCTGGTTCCAACTCCAGACTAAAATAACCCTTAATAACAGATGACAAATCTGAGATGGCCTCTCAACCATTCTAATCCCTTTGTCAACTTTAATTGCATTGATCACTTGCCTGTCTTGTATTGTGATCCTGGGAGCTTATCACAAACTCTCCTTCCCATTTCCTTGATGTCTCTTGGCAATAGAGACAAGGAGCGGGGCCGGGAATGGTAGCTGCTAGTTCATGGAATGGACACAGGAATGTGGCAGTCTTTCCCCCAGCCATTTACATTTTACAGCAAGCCAATATGTCATTTTCTTTTGTGCCATAAAAAGGAGTTTCTTCAAACCTGTGTAATGATCTCTTTTGCTCAGTTGCTCACACACACATTCACAGATGCAAACCTCCACATTTTACATTGGAAAGCAATGAATAATTGTGACCCCGAAAATGTATCTTTGATCTTATGATCCTTATGATCCTAGGTTCCTGAAGTTTGAGCAACATCTCTCCCTCCCTTCTTCCGCTTCCCTCTTCCCCCTCCCCAAGAAAACATTTTGGAGTGGGATCATCAATACGTGTTCTTAAGGGCCACTTTCCCATCCCAAGTGCAATTTATTCCTGGTTATTAAGACACCTCCATTTGTTGCTGCCATTCTCACTTTGTTCTGGGTTCTCTTATTTCCCTGCTCAGAGGAATAAGAATAACAGCAGAGCATGAGACCCCAAACTAGACGTAAATCAGCAACCAACAGCGGCTCCTGTAAGTTCAGACAGCGCACGTGTTTGTCTTCCCTGGAGTGGCTTCTCTAGGTATTTTCTTCACAAAAGAAGATGACCTGGGAATTGGGGAGGCCCTTGATGGTTTTATTCCCTTTCAAGCCAAATTTTGCTCCCAGTTAAATGTGTGCAACCTCATTAAAGGTGACAGGATTGTGCAGAAGTAGTTGGCTCATAGTTGCCCTGGATATTATTAATTGGTCGTCTCTTTAAAAATGACCATTTAAGCTTCCTTCCTGTTGCTGGTGTAGCTGATTGCATACTGAGGATTTGTTCCTTATTCAATTTTACCTTCTCTCACTTTGCATTCCCAGAGCCTTCAATGCTTTTTGCAAAATCTGGATGTCTCACTTTGCTTCTTCCCCCTCTGGGCTCCATAGCATTGGACTAAATCTTAGCCCTATTAAAGTCAAAACAAGTTTTATCAGTGGTATTGATAAGTCCAGGATTTGGCCCTTTGCATATATATTTTTTCTGTCAAATTCTTTTTAACTTAAATGATCTATTTTAGACAGTTCCTTGTGATTATATTTTAATTGGTGGTTCATTATTACTGCCTACCTCTGCCAGAGAACTAATCAGAATGTGGCACTGTTGGTTATTAGAGATATCCTCCGTGTGTGTTATACTGGTAACATGAAAGGCCAGGGAAGGAAGGTCAGATCTGCCAAAAAAGGCAAACTGGCAAGTGCTTTCTGTGCACTTGAAGAAAGCTGCTCCATTTCTTTAAACTCTGGCTATGAAGAATGACCTGGCTTTCATGTCACATAATGCCACATTTATATGAGCCAAGTGACATTTGAGGAATTGCAAAATGGTATCATGGGCTTCCATATTTGTCACATCCCAGTGACTTCCAGATTAAGTGTGTTCAATTTTTAAAAAATGAAGTTATTTTTCTAACTTGTAGACTTGCAAACCTGGGATTTGAAAGAGAACTGGGTTATTTCTGACTTGAATGGCATTCCCAGTCATAAAGATTTTGCAGGCCAATAATGCTCTTAGCTGCATCAGTATAGCTTTATTCATTTCTAAGTAGACCCTTAGCTACACCTGCATGACCCTATTACCTTCAGGAATAACAGGGTACGTCTAGACTACATGCCTCTGGCGACAGAGGCATGTAGATTAGACTACCTGGCATAGGAAAATGAAGCAGCGATTTAAATAATTGCTGCTTCATTTAAATTTAAATGGCCGATCAGCTGTTTGTCAGCCCAGCGCAGTAGTCTGGACGCTCCGCAGTCGACATCAAAGGCATTTGTCGACCTCCCAGGTATGCCTCATCCTACGTATGCCTCATCCCAGGTATGCCTCATCCCAGGAGGCATACCTGGGAGGTCGATAAATGCCTTTGATGTCAACCGTGGAGTGTCCAGACTACCGCGCTGAGCCGACAAACAGCTGATCAGCTCAGCGTGGCAGCCATTTAAATTTAAATGAAGCGGTGATTATTTAAATGGCCGCTTCATTTTCCTATGCCGGGTAGTCTAATCTACATGCCTCTGTCGCCAGAGGCATATAGTTTAGACATACCCTGTACAGAGGACATAATCTGAAGACAGGGGGTTTGCCTAGCTAGCCTGCAGTTGGACCACAATTAACAATTTTGTTGGCATTGGGCAGGCCAGAAAAGAACTCCGTTCACTCTCCCAGAGCTGGGTTGGTTTTATGGCGCTGACAGCAGGAAAAAAAATCTTGGTTTTGCCCCATCACTTGACAGATCTGCCTGAATATGCAAAGGGAACAGATGTGCAGAATAAGAAGGAGATCATTTTCACCCTAGAGACCTTTCAGAGTAGAACTATACTATAGGACAGATACTGTGAGATACCAAAACACCTGTGAAGATCAGCACCTTAAAGTAAAGGCCATGTCATTTCTCGCTCTATTAAAATGAAAATGAGGCCCTTGTATGGGAGGAAACTGGGCACAGGTGAATGCAATGTCAGTTTACACAGTAAATTTTTTTTTTAATCCAGGAAATACAAGTGTTAAGGTTCTTGCCAGTGTGTAATGTCTGCCATGTTGGACATCCTATATATGTTATAGAATATATTGTATGACAGGGCTAATCAACATGTGACCTGTGAGCCGCATGCAGCCCATGGCCCATTTGTTTGTAGCCCGTGGGTGGGAACCAAAACAAAAAAGTGGTTAATATAATGGTCTTTTGTTGATACGTGTTTTAGTAGTTAATTTCTTGGGCTGTTATTGCTCATTAAAAGTACAATCATATGTGTGGAAATCGGGTAAATATTGCATTTTATTAATATCAGCAGAACTGACTTAAATGGGGCCTGTGTGTTGTGTAGTCTTGCCTTAATTTTTGTATTCATGCCCGTCAGTGTGAAAGAAGCGTTTTGCATATATATTTGCATGAATATGCAGCCACCCTTAAGTTGTGGCCCACAGTATTATTGTGGCCCCTGGGGCTTCCAAAGTTGAGTAGCCCTGTTGTATGACATAAAGATTGTAGGGAGGCAGTATTGCTCAGTAGACAGAGCATGGGCTTTTGCATTAAGAGGCCTGTTCTCTGTTCCAGCACTACCACTTATCTGCTTTGTGACCTTTGGCACCTCACCTCTCTGCTGTAGTTTCTCCATCCCAAAATGGGGGTAATGAAACTTAACTTCCTTTATGAAGTACTTTGAGCTCTATGGATAAAAAGCACCACATAAGAGCTAACTGTTATTACTAGATGTCTTATTTAGCCAAAAAAAACAGGAATAGAAAATATTTCTGAGAGAAAGGTGGCCATATTAGTGTTGCTGTAGAAATTTAAACTTTTACATTTCCTGACTAATTCTAATTTAACTGTGCATCCTTATTATTGCATCAGTAAAGTTTCTTGTTTTAATGCATATTACCATTCCTATGTATCGCACTTTAGAGGTTTAGTAGTT